ACTTTGTGGGCTATGCAGCCTGTGTCATAACTACTCAACTGCTCTTGTATCATGAAAACACCCAATAGACAATACTGACTGAGCATGGCTGTGTTCCAATAAAACTTTATTTGTAGACACTAAAATTAGAACTGCATATAATTGTAATTTGTCATGAAATATTGTTTTAATTTCTTTCCAACCATTGAATAATGTAAAAACCATTCTTGGTCATGGGCTGAACAAAAACAAATAGCAGGCTAGATTTGGCCTGTGGGCCATTGTTTGTTGACTCTGATGCAGGTTCTTAAGTAAGTCCTATATTCCGTATTAAAGTGGTAGAAAATTGGGGACTTACTCAATATTTCTGGGTTCTCAATATTTCTGTCTTGGGTACCCAAAATGGGAAAACTTAGATGTAATTTGTATTGGCAGGCCTAAGGAACAGAAAGTAGAAAAGCATGTAGAAAAAGAAAATAGAGAGGAAGGTGTGTAGCTTTGGGAATATAATTTTATGGTGTGATACACCCCCCCCCCACACACACACACACATAAATCATATATATATAAAACTTTTTTTTAGCAGCTGGCTGGAATAGGGATAGAGCCTTGACCTTGATGTTATCAACACCACGCTCTAACCAACTAAGCTCAGGAGTATAATTAATCTGTCTGAGGCGCCTGCTTGTTAATTTCATTTATCAAATATTTATTGAGTACCCACTGTTGTTTGATGCTGTGCTAGGTCCTATAGATAGAAAGTAATGTGCAGCTTGGTCTTTTTTTAAATATCTGTTGGGTTCAATGGAAATTGAGAGTGATTAGACCCTGAAGTGTGTTTTGCTGGTAAATACAAGTCTTCGTTTCTATAAAAAGTTACGCACTTTATAGGAAAAATTATTTATTATCTCATAAATACTATAGATGGCAATAGGGAAGGTTTATCCCTGCCTATGTTAGCAAATTGATTTTATAACTTTATTTAAAGTGTGTTGTTTTCTCCTTTCTTCCTTTGAAATAATTATTCATAATTCTGTCAGCCAGAGGGCTATATTTTGGTTTAGTCAGTGAATGGTTCCAGAACATTATTAGATTTATTAATTAAAGGAGTCATATAAAGTATTTATAACAAATAATCAGTTTCGATGTTTTTAAAATATAAAGTCCTACAGAGCAAACTGCAGTTGTTGGGGATAATTAAAAAACCTAGAGCATTTGGCATTCTTATGAAAATAAGAATGTGTTTATAATGCTCTCATTATGTCAAGAAATGTTTCTGCTTTCTTTGGAGAGAATTTAGTAAATTATATGGATGATGAAAATATTTTTGCATATTTTCTTTGTAGAATGAATTTCTCATTTGTATCTTGGGTTTTAATGCCAAGTAGATGGTAGGAATGCACTCTGTCTTGTGTACTCAAAGTGAGACATCTTAGGGTCTTTTGTTTTGGCAGGCCTAAAGAACAGAAAGTGGACAAAGGGAGGAGAGAGGCAGCTAAAAGGGAAAGTGGGTTAGCTTTGGGAGTATAATTAATCTGTCTGAGGCACCAGCTTGTTAATTCTATTTATTAAGCATTTATTGATTACCCACTACTGTTGGACACTATGCCAGGTCCTATAGATACCACCAAGTAGTGTATAGCTTGGTTTTTGTTCTGGAAATGTGGTAAAGAGATAATTATAAGACAAATACTGTAGTTACTAAAAATATTATGGTCTAGCAATATAAATATGCCTAAAATTATTTGGTATAGAGCATTGGCTGTGACTAAATCCCTGGTTCCTAGTTGAGCAAGGGATAAATTGTTCCATGTGGAAGAAGTAAAATGTAGAGTAAATTTACAGAAATTATAAGGAGCTAGAAAAGAAGTCTGGGGCCAGAATTTGCAGTGTATACTATGGTAAAGTGCTTGGCCTTTATCACCTAGTTTAGCGCAGTGCTTCTCAGACTGTGGTGTAAGATTAGGGAGATTATATATACACACACATATATTTTTAAACTTCCCAGGCCATCATGTACGAATAGTTTTATAAAATACAATAAAAATGAATTATAGAAAAATGAAATAGACATATGAAATACAAGTCTTACATTTTTAAATTTAGATTGAACCAACATAACATTATTCTAGATAATTGTTGTAAAATTTATAAACACTGAATTTCTGTACTTACCTCATCATGGATTAGGAGTAACAAATATTTCATGGCTGGTAATTCTCAGGCTTGCACTGGTCTCTGGGCCATCCTAGGTGATATGTAGTCACTGCAGATTTTTAAGCAAAGAATGGTATGATTATATATATGTTTAACACAATGACCTTTTTGGCAATATGAGTGATAGTTAGATTTCAGGACGGAAGGTTGGAAACCAAGAAACTTTGGAATCAGCATTTAAGAGAGAGCTGGAAATGGATGAGAAAGTGAAAGTGACTTTCTTTATTTTGATAATCAGGTAAGGAGTAATTCCTCCACTAGGCTATAAGCTTCTTGAGGGCAGGGGCTATATTTCTTTTGGCTACTAACATAACATAGNGTTACTAAAAATATTATGGTCTAGCAATATAAATATGCCTAAAATTATTTGGTATAGAGCATTGGCTGTGACTAAATCCCTGGTTCCTAGTTGAGCAAGGGATAAATTGTTCCATGCGGAAGAAGTAAAATGTAGGGTAAATTACAGAAATTATGAGGAGCTAGAAAAGAAGTCTGGGGCCAGAATTTGCAATGTATACTATGGTAAAGTGCTTGGCCTTTATCACATAGTTTAGCACAGTGCTTCTCAGACTGTGGTGTAAGATTAGGGAGATTATATATACACACACATATATTTTTAAACTTCCCAGGCCATCATGTACGAATAGTTTTATAAAATACAATAAAAATGAATTATAGAAAAATGAAATAGACATATGAAATACAAGTCTTACATTTTTAAATTTAGATTGAACCAACATAACATTCTAGATAATACATTTTTAAATTTAGATTGAACCAACAATTATTCTAGATAATTGTTGTAAAATTTATAAACACTGAATTTTTGTACTTACCTCATCATGGATTAGGAGTAACAAATATTTCATGGCTGGTAATTCTCAGGCTTGCACTGGTCTCTGGGCCATCCTAGGTGATATGTGGTCCCTGCAGATTTTTAAGCAAAGAGTGGTATGATTATATATATGTTTAACACAATGACCTTTTTGGCAATATGAGTGATATAGTTAGGTTTCAGGATGGAAGGTTGGAAACCAAGAAACTTTGGAATCAGCATTTGAGAGAGAGCTGGAAATGGATGAGAAAGTGAAAGTGACGTTCTTTATTTTGATAATCACGTAAGGAGTAATTCCTCCCCTAGGCTATAAGCTTCTTGAGGGCAGGGGCTATATTTCTTTTGGCTACTAACATAACATAGGCACTTTCGGAAATATTTGGTGAATGAATGGGTCAGAGAGATAAAGGCAGAACCAGGAGACATTAGAGTGTTTAAAACTGGAATAAGAAGAGTTTCAGGCTAGAGAAGGTAATAAACAGAATCAAATGCTTTCAAATCAAGGAAGATGATCATTTATAAGTATTAAATTTAGTAATTTGAAATTCCTTAGGGAGATCAGCTTTAGCAGCCTGATAAAGTTAGAAGCCAGATTGTAATGTCTTGCCCATCTCTATTATCCAGTAAGAGAATGAGTAGAGAGATCCTTTTAAATATGACACTTCATTAGTTAATGTTAATTAATTCATTGAGGAAGAAAAGTAGTGGTAAATAATCTTTACTACCTGTTAGTATTGAGAATCAGTAAGATTAATTATAGGTATGTCTGAGAATCAGTAAGATTAATTATATGTATGTTTGAACATACTTCAGACAGTTTGCGGAAAAGTGGAATGAAAAGATAATATGGGGGCCGGCCCGGTGGCGCACTGCTACAGTGCGCTGCTTGGGAGTGCGGTGGCGCTCCTGCCGAGGGTTGGGATCCCACATACAGACCGGCCGCTCACTGGCTGAGCGAGGTGTGGGCGCAACACCGAGGGTTGCAATCCCGTTGCCGGTCCCGGTCCGGTATGGGCGCGACACTGAGGGTTGCGATCCGTTGCCGGTCACAAAAAAAGACAAAAAGGAAAAAAAAAAAGATAATATGAATCTTTCTGTAAACTTTTTGAAGTACCTTCTTATTCTTTCCCTCTGTTTCATCAGGGGAACTAAACCTTTATTAAATGGAATTGAAATTGATTTTTTTGTATTTGATCCTGATTTGAGAAGAAAATTGAAATGTGAATAATTTGGTTGGTCTTGTTTAAATTGATTTTTAATGAATTCATTCCCTATTATTTTTTATTGATTTTTTATTAGAACCTTTCCAGTAATATTCCATTTTTATTGTTGAATAAATTTTACTCTTATTCTGTACTGTGCCAGGTGTGCATTTGGCTAAAAGTTTGTAGGATAAAAGATTATGGCTTGAAAATGTGTGGCATAAAACTTCTTCTGAAGTGGAAAGAAGAAGTTTTCCACTTCCAGAGAAGTGGAAAGCATTTGAGGGCTGTTTAATAGGAAGAACAGAAGTTGTGTGGAGTATCATTATAATTACTAATTTTGCAAGTTTGTTTTGTCATTTAGTTGCTTTATTTTTCATAATCAAGTTTTAGTAGGATCTTTAAATTTCAGTAATATCCATTAAACATGACATCTGCTGCATAAGTGATGGGCATTGTCATGCAATGCCTGATGGACTATTGGTACTTTGTCATCTTTTAATATTGTCTAAATGAAAACTTAATTTGAAGTTTACTTCTGTGATTGCTTTTTTTAAAATAATAAACTTTGGGATTTTTCCCACCCTTTTCCTGAAAAAAATTATAGTCATTTTATAGTACAGTAAGTAATGAAAATCCAGGAGCCTTAAGACATTCATAATATTATGTGAAAACTTTAATCTTTTTAATGTTTTTTTTTGTTATTAAATATAAGCATTCAACACTCTTCAGGATAATTTCAAATTACCTCTAAATTTTCCGTAGAATGAAGATCAGCAAGAAGTGATCCTTGTCAGAACAGATCAGTCTGGAAGAGTATGGCCTGTAAACACACCAGGAAAACCTCTGGAATCAAAAGGAGGAAGAAGGAAGAGACAGATGGTATGTTTAATATATGTGTTTGTTAATCCAGAATTCCTTTCTTCCTTGTGCGGATTTTGTTGCATCAGACTACAGAATATTTTCTGAAATGTGGCTTTCTAATACAGATGTTAGAAGGCAGTAAATTATGTTATTGCTTTTATTCTTAGTTTTATCCCTTTGCCTTTTACAAAATGAGGTCTCATTCAACTGCATTTTTTCAAATAATAGTGAATATTGAATGTTTAAGGCAATTTTAATTTTAGTGTACATTTCTTTGGTGGTGTTATTAGTTTCTTTTTACATACTTACCATAGCACTTAGGGAAAACCGTGGTCTCCCAGACCTGTTACCTGTGTTAGACAGCTAATATGAGACCTGGTGATGGGGTATCCATACACAGTCATGTGTTAATTATGTAGGTGCTGTGATCCTTAATAATCCTAATTTTATTGTTCATCTTCTAGCTTTAGGAATTAGTTTTTAGCACTACCTTGAGGCTCTTGAGATGGCAAAAACAACATATTCAGTTTTCCTAAGTTAGGTTTACTGTTGTAAATGTGAAATATCATACAAGTGATAATTGGGTACACAGAAGAATTGCTCATTTGGAATTTTTCTTTCAGCTGTTTATTATTTGCCTGTTGAATGCCTATGCTGCTAGAAATACTAATTAATTAATTCAACAAATAGAAGTGGAATGGATACCTCTGCTAATGTAATGGGAGGAATTAGGGGGCTGGAGAGGAGGTGTGGCAGGAGAATAGCAAAGATTTGAATTATATGAAATGACAGAACTGACTTGGGATCCATAAATACATTGCCAGAAGGCATTGATTGCCCTTTTCGAGTTGTGTATTACTGAGCAATTTAGGTATAGGAATAAAGAAGGCAGACACATTCGTTCAGTATTGGGGTTTGCTCTTTGGGTATAATGATGGGTGATTGAAATCATGGAATGTGTGGGTTAAGCTAGTGAAGACAAGAGTAATAATGTTGGGAAAAGGTATTGAGAATGTAAGATTAATTATAGGTATGTTTGAACATACTTCAGACAGTTTGTGGAAAAGTGGAATGGAAAGATAGTATGAATCTTTCTGTAAACTTTTTGAAGTACCTTCTTATTGTTTCCCTCTGTTTCAACAGGGGAACTAAACCTTTATTAAATGGAATTGAAATTGATTTTTTTGTATTTGATCCTGATTTGAGAAGAAAATTGAAACGTGAATAATTTGGTTGGTCTTGTTTAAATTGATTTTTAATGAATTCATTCCCTATTATTTTTTATTGATTATTAGAACCTTTCCAGTAATATTCCATTTTCATTGTTGAATAAATTTTACTCTTATTCTGATTTGATTTGGGAGGAAATAAATAGCACTTTTCTTTTCCACACCTGGGTACGGAACCAACTGAAAGGAAAACCCAGGACTGAATTAGATGATGATCAGAATATCAGCTTTGTTTCTGAGAAAGCTGTTTATAAAACAAGGATTTGATAATTAGAAGTAGGTAGGTGTTTTTTGTTACTTACAAAGTATAGTATGTCTGTTTAAACACAGTATTAGTACTGGCTGTTAAGTTCTGGTTTAGTAGTTATAAAATGGTACTTCATTGCTGTTTCAGTCAGCATTTAAAATAATTTGTGAGGTTGAATATTTTGCCATATGTACTAATTTTCTTTCATCTGCTACAAATTTTCTGCTTGTTTGCTTTCCTAATTTTTACCATATATAATCTTGCTCTTTGAAAATCCTCAGATATTAAATTTTTGTGAGTAAAAAAGAAAAAAGAAAAAGAAGTGGGTGTCTTGGTCAGTTCAGCGGTTAGTTCAGGCTACTATAACAGAATAGCATTGCTTAAAAAACAGAAATTTATTTCTCACAGTCTGGGGAGTAGGAAGTCCAAGATCAGAGTGCTGGCAGATTCAGTTTCTGGTGAGGGCATGCTTCCTGGATTGTAGATGGTGGTCTTCTCATTGTATCCTCATGTGGCAGAGAGAGAGAGAGAGTAAGCTCTCTCATATCTTTTTAGGGGTACTAATCCCATTTATGAGGGCTCCACCCTCATAATCAATTTACCTACCAAAGACCCCACCTCCTAATATATCACATTGGGATTTCAACATAAGAATTTGGGGGGACATAAACATTAAGTCCATCGTAGTGGGTTTGCTAATACTTCTCTGTTTTTGATGTATGCGGGGGCGCTCCTGGGGTCCTCCCGCAGACCCAGAAGGAGAAGGAGCCGACAGGATTACCCCTGGTGATGGGACCGAGGGATCTTGGGGAAAAGTGAGCCTGCTGCCCGCCAACCCAGCCCGGTGAAAGAGACACTCAGACGCCGCAGGGGTTCTGTCAGGGCAGTTCCACTTTGTTGCCATTACACTGCAATTTATATAAGCAAGCAAGTAGGGGCTTTCCATGAACTAACCAATCAATTAAAGGATCACATGGGCATGCATTTTGTACTAAGATGTTGAGCATAGCGATCATGCAGGGTTCACGAGTGCGGAAATACTGCAGGACCAATAAAAACCTTTTGGAGCTATCTTGGGTTACACCTCCCATACTTCTCATGGGTGGGTGCCATCTTCATCCTCCACCCATAGGCACCATGTGGCTTACAGATAATGTTTGCTCCTAAAAATGGGCCCAACAGATGTACTTACTCCACCTCTGGATAACTGCAATCTTCCTTCTGCAGTGGTAAGGAATTTTAACTACAAGAAGAGCAGAAAAGAGAGAACAAGGGATAGAGCAGTTTTGAGCTTTCACCAAAACTCAGAAATCAGATAATGTCATGCTTCTATTTCTGGGGAAGAGGAGAGTAAAAGGGCAGAAGAAGTAGGGAGTGTAATTCTAATGGAAGTTCTTTCACATGGAAGTACATAGTGAAAGGACAGAGGACCCGAGCTGATAAGACGACAGGACCCGAGCTGACAGTTCACCAGAGAAGTTCCACTTTATTCAAGGACTGTGCGTATATTTATAGGGAGCTGCGTTCTGGGTTTGGATAGGGGGTGGAGGCAGGAAGTGAGCCCTGACCTGTGACTGATTGAATTTTTGGCACCGGCAGGCTTTTACTGCGGAGAAGAACCCGGGAGGGCACCATATTGCCAGGGAGTGCCTTCCTCCTCCCCCTCCACTTGAGTTCCCACGGTGTCCTTACATTCCTCCCTTTTTCCTCTGTTGTGGGAATGGGTCGCCGTGATCTTCGAACTACTTCCTGCTGGATGGGGGCATAGTAGGGGAAGAGGAATTGGGGAGAGATTGGGGATTTTGTAACAGGACCCAAAAGAGGGTAGAGAATAAGATAATTTCGAAGGGGGAGAACTCTAGAAAGGTTCCCTGAAGCCACAGGTTGGTGATTTGTTGAGTCCAGTGTGT